CCCATTATCCCATTATCCCATCCTCCCATCCCATTCCCCATTCCCATTTCCCATTCCCATCCCATCCCCATTCCCATTCCAATCCCCATTCCCATCCCATCCCCATTCCCATTCCCCATTCCCTATCCCACATCCTCCATCCCCCTTTCCCTATCCCACATCCCCCATTCCCATTCCCCATTCCCCATCCCCATCCCCATTCCCATCCCATTATCCCATTCCCATTATCCCATTCCCTGCCGCGGGAGGTCTCACCGGCGCTGATGGTGGGCAGTTCCCGCATGTCCCGGAGCAGGCGGGTGACGGTGGGGCTGGAGCGGGGGTAGAGCCCATCCCGGCTGATTCCCAGCTGGAACTGGAGCCAGCTGGCCTCGGGCCGCAGCGGCAGCGGTGCCGCAGGGGAGGTGAGGTTCAGCTCCTCCCGGTACAGCTTGTGTCTCCTGGAAGGGAGAGGTGCTGGGGGTGAGGATGAGCCTCCTCCCTTGAAAACCTCCTTTCTCCCAGCCTGGAGTCTGCTGGGCAGTGGGGAGGGTGCCAAGAGCAGAGCACGGGGTGGATAAAGGGAAACTGAGGCAGGGGGAAATGGCTGAGATGGTCAGAGCCTCTGGTCATCTCTGAGAGAGTTTTTCCCTGCAGCTGGAGGTCCTAGGAAAGGGAAAAAAAAATCACTAAAAGCTACAAATTGCCTCTGTGACCAAATTCACAGTGAGCAGGGATGCCGTGAGGTCATCTGGCAGCATCCTGCCCATGATCTCTAAAAATCAACGTTCAGTCCCATCCTTTTTTTTTGGTAGCTGGAGCTGCAGGAGCCTCCCAAGTTCAGTAATAACCCAAAACCATCTCTGCACTCCATCAGCATTTTCCTTCACCTCGAGACCTCCAAGGCTGGGACTGTGGAATTGAAAGGTCACTTATTCCAGCCAGCAGAGGACAGAGCTTTAGTTTCTCATTAACATTGTCCAGCCCACGTATGGAGCAGCCAGTCCTGATAAAGGGAAAATAAAGTTCAGTTTACACTGGAAGTGCCAGGATCCATCCATGAAAGCAAACAGGAGCTGGGGGCTGATAAGGAGGAGGGAGGGCATTAACTGGGGCTGGGATGGAGTGGCTGGAGAGGGGGAAGAGCCAGACCCCATCCAGAGCCTGAGCAAGTGAGTGCTGGCCATGCACAGAGGCATTTATCAGCCAAGGAACGGCACTGGGGGCAGGAAAGGACCCCTGGGTGGTGGTGCATTTTCTATTTCCCTGCTCATCCCAGCAGCTGGGGTTAGGTTGGAATTTTTCCATCACCCTTCTCCATCCAATCTGGCTGCGAGCAGGGCATGAACCCTCCCAGAGTGTTCCAGCGGTATCCTGGGAGACATCTAGGAACTGGAGAGACAGGTTGGATGTGCAGCTCACAGGAGCCTGTTCCCTCTCCCAGTTTGTTTGTCTTTCCACTGGACTGGGTCAGCCACAGTGTGAAGTCCACGTGTGCATGGTCAGAGGAGCATTTCCCTCCCAGACCAGCTCTTTGCTCAGCCTGCCTGCAAAGGAGGCAGAAAATTCCCTGTGCACAAGGATGTGGCCCTGGAATGCCCTCAGCTCCAGCAGAAGTGCCTTGACCCCCAGCCTGCTGCCCTGCACCAGGTTTCCCATGGATTATTAAGGCACAACCTTAACCCTGCCACAGCCAGGGACAATAAAACCCCAGCTCAATGGACAGGAATGACTCAGGATTTTTTCCCTAGAGAAGCTGCCCAAATATTTTACCATATTTGCTCTCCTGCCTGCCATACACACAGGCTGTTCCCCCGGGGTGGCAGCGAGCAAGGGATTACTGAGGGGGAAAAAAATGCAATGGTTATGCAAGGGGAGGCAGATCCCAGCCCTGCATCCACATGGTCCCTGCCCAGGCTGAGCCAGTCCCTTCCCAGCCCTTCAACCCAAAATACAGCTTTCTCTGCCTCCCTGCCTCCTTCAGGATTCCTGAAATATTTCCCTGGAAAAAAACAGATCTCTGCAAAAGGCATAATGATATAAAAACAGGGTTCATTTCTAGCCGGCTATAAATAGCTCTGGGGTTGCCCTGGCTTTCAGCTCTCTGCTGGGCTGGGAGGGAGGCACAGCGTGGGGTGACACTGCTCAGGCCACCAGCATCCTGGGTTTGGGGTTTTGAAACTGCTCCTTCATGGATAAAAATAAGCTCTGGAGTTTTTAAGGGATTTTTTTTTTCGGTTTTTGAAGAGGTGTGGATATTTTGGATTTTTTTTTTTCTGTTTCCTTCCTGCATCCCCATCAGTCTCTCCAGCTGGTTCTGCATCCTGCAATCAAGCTGCTGGTCCTTGAAGAGCTGGGAGCAGACAGGGATGGGCAGCAGGCAGTTTGCAGGGAGCAGCGTGGAGGAGGACACGCTCTGGCTTGGGTATCCCAACAGGACGTGTCCTGGGGCCGCTCCAGCTGGCAGAGTCCTGTCCAGCTGATGTCCATCTGGCTGCAGAAATGAAGGCAGACGCGCTGTGCTGGAGGAACGGGGTTAAACTGCAGCTTGTTCCACTCAAGAGGAGCGTCCTGCTGCTCCCAAAGCTGCTCTGCCAACAGTCACATCCACAGCTGATGGAGAAACGTGCTGTCATCCTGTCGTGCTGAGGAGAGGATGCCCATGGACGCTCAGCCCTGAGCCTCTGCTGCCTGGCCCTGGATGTGGAGCTGCCGTGGACGTTTTGCTCTTCAGTCCTCGACAGCAGCAGCAGCTTTGTTGGACCCATGCAGTGGGAGAGAAAGCCATGGATTCCTGAGTCCCACGAGGACCCTGCCCTGCCACCTCAGAGAGGACACGGGCTCTGCAGTGCTCCTGGTGAGGCAGAAACTCCTCCGTGCCCAAGGAAAATTAACAATCTTATAAAATCCACCAGCTCTGGCAAGTGCCACCTGATTATACATTCAATTTGCAGCACTGGTGGTTGCTGGCAGGTTTTTGCAGGAGCAGTTCTGTCACCTCAGCCTGTGCTCTCTGGAGGTTTCATCCACTTATGAGCATCATATATTTTATTTCAGAGAGACTGAGGAATAATCAATACTCTGCCTTCCTTTCCTTCCTGGAGGTGCAAAGCGAAGTCAATCAAGGACAAATGGAATGACTGTGTTCCTCCCGGCCAAACCACAGCCAAACTTCGGAACACAAGGCAAAGTGCAGCCATGGCTTCATCATAAATTCCATATTTTAACAGCGTGGTGAATAAAACTGGGGAGTGCAGACCTCTCACTGTCCTGCAAGTGAGGCTGCAGCAAGTGCTCAGGGCTTCTGATGGTGCCATCAAGCTGTGAACTGCTTTGGTTTAAATCCCCCATTCCCACTGGGATTTTGATTGGGAAACATCCACCTTGGTACCCAAATCCCGATGTGTTCAGAAGGCAGTGCTCAGCTATCCGAATATGCACCCAAAGCGGGTCTGTGGCACAGCCAGGGATACTCAAACCCACCATCCATGGATTGCAATGCTGTGACAAAGGATTCAACATCCAGACTGACTGGAGCAAGAGAAGAGCCTCGCAGGGGTGACCCTGGCTGAGCACAGAGGTGGCTCCAGACCCTGGTGCTGCTCCATGAAAGTCATTCTCTGTTCTTTCCATTATTGCTTCCCATCATTTCCTCCAGCAAATCCCACAAGGAACCAGCACTGGGTGAGTCCCGCTGACACAGGAGGAGCAGGTGTGGAAGTGGAGAGAGAAGGAGCTTGGGAATGCAGCTCAGCAAACAGCACACAGGTGATGGGAGGAGTGGGGGCTCTCCAACGCTGGAAACCAAACGTGGGCAATGGGGAAGTGCCAGGACTGGGATCCCTGGTCCCCAGGACATGCTGTCACCCCCTTGCAGGTGTCCTGTCCCACAGAGGGGACAGTGGTGATGCCATGAGCTCAGCACGCCGGGAGTTCCACGCTCTGTTGTATCCAAGTTTGTGCATGAATGGAAAAGTGCTTGGGGTGCAGGCAGCAGCTGTGGGGGTGCACTCACAGAAAGTGCCTGGGAATGGGGGTGCTCTAGAGATCCCCAATGCATGGGGAGTCCGAAAAAGGGGTGCCCAGGCGATGCCAGGGAGGAGGGTGACCATGCAGGGAGTGCCCAGGAGATGCCAGAAAAATGCGTCCCCATGCAAGGGGCGCCCAGGAAAGGGGTGTCCAGGAGATATCCGGGAAAGGGGTGCCCATGCAGGGGTGCTCAGAAGGCACCCGGGAAGTGGGTTACCAGGAGATGCCAGTGCAGTGGGTGCTCAAGGAAGGGGTGCCCAGGAGATGCCCAGGAAGCGAGGGATCATGCAAAGGGTGCCCGGTAGAAGGGTGCCCAGAAGCTGCCCGCACAGAGATTGTCCCGGAAAGGAGTGTCCAGGAGATGTCCAGGAAAAGGATGCCCAGGAAATGCCCGGGAATGGGGTGCCGGGGGAGGACGTGCCCAGGAGATACTTTGGAAGGGGGTACCGGCCAAAGAGGTGCTCAGGGGGATACCTGGAGGGGGGTGCCCGGGAAGGAGGTGCTCAGGGGGATACCTGGAAGGGAGCTCCAGCAGCTACTGGTGCACGGACTGCTCAAGGAAGAGACACCCAGGAAACAACCAGGAAAGGGATGCCAGGGGGAGGGAGGCGCGCAGGAGATGCCCAGCCAGGGCCGTCCAGGCGGTGCGGGGGTGCCCGGGATGTGCCCGAGCGGGGGATGCGCGGTGCGGAGCGCGGCGCCGCGGGACGCACCTGTTCCATCGAGCCGCCTTCCGCCGGTAGTAGCGCAGGGCTTCGCGGGCGCCCAGCAGCGGCTCGGCGGGGCCCGGCGGGGCGGTGCGGTACAGCGGGTGGGCGAAGAGGCGGCGCAGCGCGGGGGCGGCGCGGGGGGCGCGGGAGGGCGGCGGGCGCGGCGCGGGGGGCGCGGGGCAGGGGCAGCCCGGGGAGATCCTGCCCAGCTCCAGCTCCCGCCGAGCCCGCGGCCACAGGTGGAAGTAGAGGTCGGCGGCCAGCAGAGCCCCGAGCAGCAGCAGCACGGCCGGGCGGTCCCGCCGCGGGCCCGGCATGGTCGGTGCGGGGATGGGGACGCGGGGACGGGGACGCGGGGACGGGGACAGCGGCGGGCGCGCCGCCGGCGGCTCCCGGGGCAGAGCGCACGGGGGAGCTCGAGCGGCGGAGCCGGGGGGTGCGGGCACCTCGGGGCGGGGACCGGGCAGGGCGCTCGGGGCCCGGGGCGGGGGAGCGGGGCTGGGGGGACGGCAGCGTGCGTGGCAGCCTGTCCCGGACAGCGCCCCGGTGCCGGTGTCGGTGCCGGTTCGGTGTCAGTGCCGGTGCCGATGTCAGTGTCGGTGCCGGTGTCGGTGCCGATGTCAGTGCCGGTGCCAGTGGCGGTGCCAGTGGCGGTACCGGTGTCGGCTCTGCCGCCCGCCCCCCGAGCACCGCCCGCTCGCCCAGCGCAGCCCCCGCGCAGGTGGCGAGTCCCCCGCCCGCTCTCCTCGCCGGCTCCTTCGGGGTTTTAGTCCCTTCTCCCGAAGGTGGAAAGTCGGCCCGTCGAGCTGAGCAGGAGCTGGGGCGTGCTGTGTGTTGTGGGGAGAGGATGGGGTGCTAGGGGGCTGTATGGGAATGGGGAGAGGGTGCTGGAACCCCTCTGGGGCTCTGTGCCCCCACAGCTGGGCTTGCAGCCCCTCCGCGCTGCTCGCTGGCAGACACCGCTTCTATTTTCTTAATACTTAAAAAAAACCTCTATAGTTGAGGGAACTTCTCCCTGCAGTTCGCTGGGCCGTGGGGATGTGCTGGGGCTGGGACCCACCGAGCTCATCCTGGGGCGAGCGGGGCGAGCGGGGCGAGCAGCCCAGCGAGGTTGGAGAGCAGCGGGCCAAGGGAGGGGAGCGGAGCAGAAACTGGCTGAGCATTGGGGGAGCGTGACCAGACTGGCCTGGCTCCGGCACCGTGCTGAAGGGAGAACAGAAAATAAACTACAGAAAGAATGGAAAGAAAATGGAAAGTCGGTGATGTTTTCAGCTGGCTGGAGCAGGGCTCGGTTCTGTGCGCAGCGCGGCGAGGGGAGGATCTGGAATGGGGGGGATTGGACTGAGCAAAACGGCATCGCAGGGATGCTGCCCGAGCATCGCCCTCAGCTCCCAGATGCTCCTCGGATCCACAACAGGAGAGAAAAGCCCCTGGGCCGGGCTGTGGCTGCAGGGACCCGGGGCACACCTCTCATCTCGGTCCTCTGATCTTTGGAAGACGGTTCTTACTTCTCCTTTCGAAATGCATTTTCAAAATTCTTCAGTCTTTTGATATTTGAGGAGTTTGGGTTTCAGGTTTAGGGGTTTTTGCTCTCAACTTTTTTTTTTCTGTAATACCAAATTTTAAGAGTTTTCCACGGAAGATTTATAAGCACAAACATTAGCTGGTGCTGCTGAGGTAAGCAAGGATCAGTGGGAGGAAAGGATGTGCTCCCCACATTGCTTGGCTTTTGGGGACAGCAAAATTGGTAAAAATGATTGCACTTGGATCCCTTTAAGCTCTAGACAAGACACGAGGTGCCAAGAGGGGAAATTTCGGGGCGCTGACAATGCTGGAAGGGCTTGAGCGGCGTGGGGCGAGCAGGGGCTCTGCTTGGAGGGGCTGGGCTGGGGTCTGCAGGATGGGAAGCCACAGAGCTGATCCTTCTCAGGGGGAGAGAAGGAGCTTTCAGGACACGAAATTGGATGTAAACAGGAGGAAATGAGTGCCAGCTCGCTGGTCAGGTGGCTTAGGGAGAGCAAAGGGGGGTGTGCTGCAGCTGCACACTGTGCCTGGGGACACCTCAGCCCCTCCAAGGCCAGGTGACCTGGCAGCTCCCCAAACAGTGACATCATAAACCCACAACAACCTGGGACTAACAATAGGATTCTTTTTTCTTTTTCTTTTTTTTTTTTTTTTTAACTTATTTTTAAAAAGATTGCCCAGATGAAGTTAAACCCCAGAATTCAGCAGACCCGGATGAATCCCCGGGAACAAACCCTGCTCCGTGGCTGCCAGCTCCTTGGACACTCCTGGAATCACTTCAAACTCAAAGAGAAACTTTTGACAAACACTCCCTCAAAAACTGGCTGATACTTGCTTGGCCTCTAATCCTTGCTGAGCTGTTTCCCCGTTGCTAATCTCTCCCAGGAACCATTAATAAATCTTTGCTGGTTTGCAACGCTAATTCTGGACAAAGGCACCAGGAACCAGCAGTGCCTGGGCCTGTGTCCCTGTTGTTTGCATGCTCTGCAGGAAGATTGTTTGGCTTTTAATGAAGTTAATTAAAAAGAAACAAAAAAATAATAAATCAATCCCATTAATCTGTAATAAATTGGAGTGCTCCAATCCTTCCCAAAGCAGTTGGGACTGCCAGCTCCCAACAGGCTGCAATGCAAAATCACTGTTATTATTATTTAGAACAACTCCATAGTGCCACAGTGATACTTCCCTGCTCATCCATGGCTTGGATTTCCTTGGAGCAGAGGAATCCTGCTGGACCTTGTCCCACACACATCCCTGGGCATCTCCTCGTGCTCTGCATTCTTGGTTTTGGCTCTTCCTGCCCAGCCAGAGTCCCTGGGCTCCAGGTGAGCATCACTTCCCACCCCAGGGCTCAGCAGAACTCATCCCAGCCTGCTGGAAGGGATGGATGTGTTCCTAAAATTAACCTGGAAACACTATTTTGATAGGCCACTGACAGCTCCAGCAGAACCAAATTACCATTTGGAATTACCAGGAGATAATTGGCCTCATTTACTATTTAAAGATGGGGGAAAAAAGCTCCTTCTTCCAGACAACTGCAGTGGAGAAATGTTCAGGCGTAGATGATGTCCCAAAACATATCATTAAAGCTTTAAATAAATGTATGATGACATCTCAGAGTAAGAAATACTTCCTTTGTATTTCAGATAGAAGCCAGCCAGGTCCTTTTCAAAGTCATTTTTTAATAAACAAAGGATATTCTTCTTGTTTTTCCAGACACGCAACTTACAATATTTGGAGTAGTAAGTATGTAATTTAAATTCTTTCTCACATTATGGATTTAAAACCCATCTTCCTTACAGATGCCTTTTTCTTGCCAAAAAGTGAATGCCTCTGTCTGCTGCTTTTTGTCTTTTTAACTTGAAATGCTGCAGAGCTGCCCTGGTCCCACCCTGCAGATTGTAATGTTTGCAAAAGGGAGGAGATGAGAATTATCCCTTTCTCACTGCCGTTAATTACGAGGATTAAACACCAAGGCAGCTACACAACATCACAAAGGGAAGTAAAATATGAGTTGGAGGAGCCAAGTTCTGCACTTGCTGCTTCACTGACAGGAGCACAGGCGTGCCAGGAGCAAATCCTGCAGCTCTGTCCTGTTCCTGCTGCAGCTGGGACCCAGAGCAGCAGGTGCAGGCTCTGCCTGAATGGTGATGGTGGTGATGGTGATGATGATGATGATGATGATGGTAGTGATGGTGATGATGATAGTGATGGTGATAGTGGTGATGGTGGTGGCCATAGTAGTGATAGTCGTGGTGATAATGGTGGTCATGATGATGATGGTGATGATGATGGTGGTGGTGATGTTGGTAGTGATGATGGTGATGATGATGGTGGTTGTTTTGGTTGTCATTGTGGTGCCCAAAGAGCATCTCCCACCCTGGGCACAGCCTCATGCCAGGGCTGGGGGTGGTTTCTCAGGAAGGTGGCACCTCTCACAGGGGGATTCCCTCTGCCTGAACCCCCAGGCTGGGGCTTTCCCACCCCAGCACGGTGTGAGATCCCTTCCCAGTCTCTGCTGGTTGCTCTGGGCTGTCTCATGCTCTGTCTCAGCTTGTAATTAAAAATGAAATATTTGGGCCAAGTGCTTAAATGAAGAACACATTTTTGATAGCTAACAGTGCTGAGGAGAACCCTGGAGACCCTGACAGGGCAATTAGTGCCTCTCCACTCACATGGGAGAGGAGTCTGGAGAAAAGAAGCGTGTTTGTTCACTCCAGAGGGTTTTTTGTACAAAAATGCAATTATAGGGTATAAAAGGAAATGTTTAGAAACACACAAAGAGGGAATGAGTTAGGAGCCTCCTTCAGCCCAGGACAGGGAAGGCAGAAGGGAAGAGGTGCTCCAGGAATGACACCTCTAACACTTCCCCATCCCTGGCAGCAGCTCCCACCAGTGGTTTCATTTCCCTCCTCCCATCTACCTCTCCTGGCTGCTGTTCCAGGCTCATCCCTTGGCCTCAGCGAGCTCCCAGCTGCTCAGGGCTCGGGAATCTGGGTGGATCCTCTCCCTCTTGGCAATGAACTTGCACAGCTAAGCACAAACAGGAGGAAAGCACCTTCATGGTCCAAGCTCTTGTGTGCTGAGGTCTCCAGCACAGCTTTGCTTTCCCCCTCCCTCTATCCCTCTGAGCATCCCTGGAGCTGGCTTAGAGCAAAATCCTGGGGAGCTGTGGCAGCTTTCCATGGTCAATCCCAGCCCCAAACCATCCTCTTCCAGGAGGGTGGGAGGAGTTCTGAACCCTCGTGTGGTGTGAGACGGCTCCGCCACTCTCCCAGCGCTCCTGTCCAAAACCCAACGGAGGGACACCAGCCCTGGGAGCCTGGAGAAGCTCTGTGCAGGCAGAGCTGGTGCAGAAGGGTGACCTGCATGTCCCTGAAGAGCTGGGATGACACAGAGCCCAGCTGACACAGGGCTGTTTGTCTTGGACACGCTGGGATTGACCGGAAAACAGCGCCGACCTCTTGAGCAACACCGGGGGATTTTGGCCGGCCGGGCAGGGGCTCAGCCTGGGCTGAGTTTATAGGATCTGAGTGCCAAGATAGCAAAAACAAAACAATCCCTGTCCAATGGACTGGCTGGAGCCACCCCTGCCACGGAGACAGCCCGCTGGTGTCATTAAAGGTTAAATTAAGGCAAATCACATTCCTCAATGCAAACGACGCCGGGCTGTGCGCACGCGTTATTTAATGAGTATTTGGTTTGTGGAATTACTTTTATTGGTAGTTAACTGTGTAGTGGTCTCCGTGGGACATCTGGTACACGGTTTGAAAGGAATATTCCTCAACCCTTGCTGAGTGAAATTGTTTTTGTAGACAAGTGGAGGCTTTGGGGCCATTAAGAAGATAAAACACAGATTGTTTGCAGAGGGTTTTTATTTTATTTTAATGGCTTTCGAAGAGAGGAGCTTTTATTATTTTATTTGTCTATTGTTAGCAGGCAGAAGGGCTGGGAAGAGGCACAGATGTTCCCTTTGCTGTTGGCTGGGCCAGGCCCCAAACCCAGGGCAGAGGGTTTGAACCTCTCTCCGAAGCTGCTGTAACATTTTCCAAATCTTGAAACAGCTCCTCAGTTTCTCAGTAAAACCACTGAGGGCTGGGGTGGGGACTCCCTGTGTAACAATTTAAAAGCTGTACAGTGGATGAGACAAGGATTGTGTGCGAACCAGAGAAAATGAAGGGCTTTGTGCTTCCTTCCAGTGATGGGAAAATCACAGATGGATCCCAAACTTCCAGCTCTCAGCCCAGCACCAGTTCATCCAGACCACATAAGAAAACAGCCACTGTCCAGTTTTGGGGCATGGTAGGCTGTGATGGATGTTGGGACACCTTTGTCCTCAAAAGCAAATCCTCTAAAGAAAAGAGCAGCATTAATTCCCAGTAGCTAATGAGCTGCCTCAGGAATTAATTGAACATCGTGTCCCTCAATGGTGGAGGCTGCCTGACTCCTCAGTGTCTGTAGGAACACTGATTTCAATTATTCACAGGAAATTCTACAATCCTGGGTGCTGTTTGCTCTTCTTGTCCCAGGGAAATCCACAGGCACAGCCAGGTTGGGAAATGAGGGTTTTAGTGGGAAGACAAAGTGGAGCTGCTAAAGGAGGCAGGGATGTGCCAAGGGGTCAGTTATGGGATGAAGGAGAAAACATCTTCCTCTTCCTCCTCTTCACCTTTCCCTTTCCCTTTCCCTTTTATCTTCCTCTTCCCCTTCTTCCTCCTCCTCCCTCTTTGCTGTTTTATTCCAGCTCCTCCCTTGATTTTTGGGAAATGCCCTCATGTATCAGAACTGCCAGGGGAAGAAAAGGAAAGGGAGTGAACGTGTCAATCCCAAATTGTGTTTTCAGTGTTTGTTGTACTGAGGGGAGGGGGGAAAGCCCTTTCATCCTCAATCCAGAGTGGAAATTGTTAATTAACAAGCACAAATAAATTGTGATGGTCAAAAGCAAACTCCAGAGGGGTCAGATGTGTGAGAGCACAGCCAGTGGGGAAGATCCTTCCACTTCCCAGGCACCTTTATGGATACCACTGCCCTGCTCAGCTTTTCCAGAGGTTGTTTTTAGTGTTTGTTTTTCCCTTTCCTGCCCATATTAATCTCTGCTGTCACCAGGGTCATTTTAACCTTGGCTCTGTGCTGGCCACAGAACTGGTGGCAATAACTCTTCTAGGGGGGGTGTCTCTGTGGACACAGGATTGGGTAATAAAAGCAACGATTTTGGAACACAGTGCTCATGTAGGGATTTGTCCCATGGCTTATTCTGCAATAAATGTGGCATAAATTAAGTAAGAAAACAACAACAACAACAAAAAAGGAGGAGCTGGGAAGGATTTGGAGAGAGCAACAGCTCCAGTCCTAAGGGTGCCAGGCTGGTTGTGGCTGCAGGATGGGGGTGATGACACCCAAACTGATCTCCTGCCACCTCCTCTGCTTTTCTGACCACCACACTATTTAAACCTTAACTGCTCATCAGCTTTGCTTCCTGTTTTCTCACTTCATTGGAAAGCAGCACCGATGTTGAGGGTTTTTTTTTAAACCAGTAGAACATAAACCAAGGAGAATCCGTGAATCCCTTGCAGTAACAGAATTCCTGCTGAGCCTGGGACTGTTCTCTATCTGTTTTCAGCACAATCGTGTGTCCAGATCAAATTAAGATGGAATTATGGTGTTGGGACCACCAACAATTTGTAGGTTCAAATATCTCTGTGCAAAATTCCCCCAGCATTTTAAACATGAATTCCTGTGCCAGAGCACTGATCTTGGACTGAAGCTGCCCTCCAGTGCTGCTGTAGGGGTCAGTTCCACTTGGTTCATCTCATTTCACACCAGAGAACCCCCTGCCCTGCTGGAGAACCAGAAATAAGGGATTTTTTGAAGCAAGAAAATGGTCAGGATGGTTTTAATGGGGCTCAGAATGAGAGGTCTCTTATCAGCAGAAAATTCAGCTGTTTTTCACCTTTGTCATTCCTTGACTTCCTTATTGATCCTTTGCCACCAATGAGTGAGACCAGGAAAAATCTGGGCTGCAGGTTCTGGTGTTTAATCCCTGTTCTCC